GTTGTTGCCTACAGGTTTTTACAGCAGATCAGCCTACTTACTGCTTTCAAATGTGTTTAATATTTTTATTTGCTCTGTCTGTTTCACACACCCTGATGCAGCCGTTTAAAATAAGTTTTATTTGTCTAATGTGAGACTGAATATTATGAGCAGTTTGGTAGGGATATTGAAATAAATTTTAATATGCTATTTATTTTAGGTCAGTAGACTATACTACATTTTAATATGGCTTTCTTAGGCCTACTACAGAGACTGTAGTCATGTTCCTCCCACCTGTGGGTGCAAAAGGTGGGGGGTGAGTTTTCAGCAGCCTAAATGTTGAGATTCAGTCTTTCAAACATTATTTGAGCACATTTTATGGCATGAATGGAGTTTTTGTTTCATTGCTTTATGAAGTTAATTTAGAACAATGTTTGGACACTTTTGAGTGTGTTAAATAAATTAATCTCATTTTTGAAGTGACAACAAGTTTTTAAAGTGAGTTCGAACGACCACGTCTTCAGCGCCCGAGCCTTTTAATGTGGAAACGCCGACACAGCCGAGCTGAAAAAGAACGCTTAACACATCAAATCAATGCATATTATAGACTACGCCTGTTCATTTAGGCATTCACACTGATTTTATGTGTCCCTGCATGTGTCAGATGCAGACGTGCTGCTTAGACCAGGTCGTATTTCTGTTGTGTCACAGTTGACGCTCTGCTGCCAGTAGACTTGTTCATGTCTTTGATTGGTCTGTTGACTCTGCCTCTTTGATGTGAACGCGCTCCCGGCTGGATTGGGAAACCCTGGGTTGAGTTAGCGAGTTGATAACCAGCTTCGGTGTTATCGCTCTCACACTCCCTCATCCTGGTCACTGGAAGTTCAACATGGCAAAGAACTCTCTGAGGATCTGAAAAAAGAACGGCTGCTCTACATAAAGATGGCCGAGGCTGTAAGAAGACCCTGAAACTGAGCTGCAGCACGGTGGCCAAGACCATACAGCGGTTCAACAGGACAGGTTCCACTCAGAACAGGCCTCGCCATGGTCAAACAAAGAAGATGAGTGCACGTGCTCAGCGCCATATCCAGAGGTTGTCTTTGGGAAACAGACGTATGAGTGCTGCCAGCATTGCTGCAGAGGTTGGGGGGTCAGCCTGTCAGGGCTCAGACCGTACGCCGCACACTGCATCAAACTACACGGCTGTCATACGAGAAGGAAGCCTCTTCTGAAGATGATGCACAAGAAAGCTGCAAATAGTTTGCTGAAGACCAGCAGACTGAGGACACGGATTACTGTTATTTATAAACCTTTGTTTAAACAGGAAAAGTCCCATTGAGACACAGTCTCTTAGTGAATGATGAGGCCATTAGTTGTGTTTATCATGATAGAAATATATTTTTATGAAACATCCCTAACGCTGTGTGTATGATGTTGTTGCAGGAGACCAGAGAGCAGAGGATCACCCAGTACCATGAAGAACCTGATACTCCTTGTGTCCTGGTGAGTTTTGTTGTCTCGGTCCAGTCGGCATAATGCAGCTTTGCAGAGTGCTAATACTCGCACTATTGCAGCCTTTACAACCACCGCTAGCGCTACTGCAGCCTTTACAACCACCGCTAGCGCTACTGCAGCCGTAACAACCACCGCTAGCACCGCCAGCGCTACTGCAGCCTTTACAACCACCGCTAGCACCGCCAGCGCTACTGCAGCCTTTACAACCACCGCTAGCACCGCCAGCGCTACTGCAGCCTTTACAACCACCGCTAGCGCTACTGCAGCCGTAACAACCACCGCTAGCACCGCCAGCGCTACTGCAGCCTTTACAACCACCGCTAGCACCGCCAGCGCTACTGCAGCCTTTACAACCACCGCTAGCACCGCCAGCGCTACTGCAGCCTTTACAACCACCGCTAGCGCTACTGCAGCCGTAACAACCACCGCTAGCACCGCCAGCGCTACTGCAGCCTTTACAACCACCGCTAGCACCGCCAGCGCCACTGCAGCCTTTATAACCACCGCTAGCGCTACTGCAGCCGTAACAACCACCACTAGCGCTACTGCAGCCGTAACAACCACCGCTAGCACTGCCAGCGCTACTGCAGCCGTAACAACCACCGCTAGCACCACTGCAGCCTTTACAACCACCGCTAGCACCGCCAGCGCTACTGCCGCCGTAACAACCACCGCTAGCACCACTGCAGCCTTTACAACCACCGCTAGCACCGCCAGCGCCACTGCAGCCGTAACAACCACCGCCAGCACCACTGCAGCCTTTACAACCACCGCTAGCGCCACTGCAGCCTTTACAACCACCGCTAGCACCGCCAGCGCCACTGCAGCCTTTACAACCTCCGCTAGCACCGACAGCGCTACTGCAGCCGTAACAACCACCGCTAGCGCTACTGCAGCCGTAACAACCACCGCTAGCACCGCTAGCGCTACTGCAGCCTTTACAACCACCGCTAGCCCCGCCAGCGCTACTGCAGCCGTAACAAGCACCGCTAGCGCTAATGCAGCCGTAACAAGCACCGCTAGCGCTACTGCAGCCGTAACAAGCACCGCTAGCGCTACTGCAGCCGTAACAAGCACCGCTAGCGCTACTGCAGCCGTAACAACCACCGCTAGCACCGCTAGCGCTATTGCAGCCTTTACAACCACCGCTAGCCCCGCTAGCGCCACTGCAGCCGTAACAACCACCGCTAGCGCTACTGCAGCCGTAACAACCACCGCTAGCACCGCTAGCGCTACTGCAGCCGTAACAACCACCGCTAGCACCGCTAGCGCTACTGCAGCCGTAACAACCACCGCTAGCACCGCTAGCGCTACTGCAGCCGTAACAACCACCGCTAGCACCGCCAGCGCTACTGCAGCCGTAACAACCACCGCTAGCGCTACTGCAGCCATAACAACCACCGCTAGCACCGCTAGCGCTACTGCAGCCATAACAACCACCGCTAGCACCGCTAGCGCTACTGCAGCCGTAACAACCACCGCTAGCGCTACTGCAGCCTTTACAACCACCGCTAGCACCGCTAGCGCTACTGCAGCTGTAACAACCACCGCTAGCGCTACTGCAGCCGTAACAACCACCGCTAGCACCGCTAGCGCTACTGCAGCCGTAACAACCACCGCTAGCACCGCTAGCGCTACTGCAGCCGTAACAACCACCGCTAGCGCTACTGCAGCCGTAACAACCACCGCTAGCGCTACTGCAGCCGTAACAACCACCGCTAGCACCGCTAGCGCTACTGCAGCCGTAACAACCACCGCTAGCACCGCCAGCGCTACTACAGCCGTAACAACCACCGCTAGCGCTACTGCAGCCGTAACAACCACCGCTAGGACCGCTAGCGCTACTGCAGCCTTTACAACCACCGCTAGCACCGCTAGCGCTACTGCAGCCGTAACAACCACCGCTGTTTTGTCTTTGTCTGTGTGAGCGCGCTGAGAAGGCGACTCGCCAGCGTTTATTAGAGAATTTGTGGTCATTTAATTTTGTGCATTTTCAGGGTCTGAGGGAGGGATCCCTGCTGCTGGTGGAGGGCGACAAAGCCACACTACTGGGAACCACCAAGGCCAGACTCTTCACCCGGTAACACACACACACACACAGAGTGCATGGAGAACCTGACAGCACACCAGTAACACCAGTAACACCAGTAACACCAGTTTTGTGTGTTTTAGGGGGAAGCCCACAGTGGAGTACGACCCAGGTAGTGACCTCAGCTTCCTGCTCACACGTTGACCAATCAGAGGGAAACAGGAAACAAGTGCCAGTGTCTCACCCTTTCACAATATTGTTGTGGATGAATGTTGTGGTTGAAACACAATAAATATTAAAAGTCCACGGCGTCTCTGTGAAGATGTTTTCTGTTAGTGTGTCAGACACTTAACAGCTGTGCATGTACTGAGACGGTTAGATATAAATATGTACAATTATGGTACTTTTCTAACTTACAGAGTGCTTCAACAAAATGTCAAACACCAAGTTATTACGGTTACGTAAGCATTAAGTTACACGTATGCATCGCAGAGAGCAGCTAACGTTAGTCTCGTCTCTTCTTCAGTCTTGTAAGAATTTATTTTACTAATATATAAGTGGACAGTGTCGTTAACACCATCTGTGACTTCTGTCATGTATTTCTGATCAAGTTAAAAATAACAAAATCAAGACAAAAGAGAGAATAAAATGTGAACAAATCAGTTTATTTCAGCTCAAAAGGTGAAATCATCTCTTTAAGAAATGTGTTGATTGTTATTCTCTAGGTGAAAGAATACATACATCAAAAATAGTCCATATTTTCTCGAGGCAGAAAGAAAGAGACAGTGTTAGTATTAAATATAAAACAGACACACACCAGCAGGACCGACTTCAAATCACTGATTAGCTCTGTCTGATTTTATTTCAGAGACTTTCCCAAACCTTTTCTTTAACTGTTCCTGTTCAAAGTTTAACAGCTGTCCTGAGAAGTTACCACGAATGTTTAATAAATCGCTTCTTTTGTTGAATATTTTTGGTGGTGACTGCGTTGAAAGTGAATTGACGTCGGTCCTGCTGAACCCTGCAGACGAGGGAAAAGCTCTCTGCCAGTTCAAACTCCGACGTCTTCAGAAATATCTTTATAAAACAGAGTCGGGACGCACAGATGCTCCTGAGACCAGTTCTCCTTTATCACCTTTCATAAACGCAGCAGACCCTTAAAAAATGTCTCAGGGCCACAAATCTGATCAAATCTCTCCCACACAGCTGAGCTGAGCTACTGAGAGTTAAACTAAATATTTAAAATAAATAACAGCTAAAAGTGTTTGTTTTAAACTTTGCTGCTATAGAGAAAGTTTTCAGGGCCTTTAAAGGAATAATTAACATTTTGGGAAAAACTCTCACTTTCTTGCTGAGAGTCAAATTAGAATATCAAAACTCTTTAATATGAAGCTCTATCAGCACATGGTTAGCTTAGCTTAGCATAACGACCACGACCACATGGGATGAATGTATTTAGTATTTCAGGACCCATAATTATGTTTTTTATTGCAGCGACCTATAGCAGTCTGGTGATGTATTATTAGTGAGAAAGTCCGCATAAGGAGGTGGACGGGTAAAATCCAGGACTTTCACACAGGAGAACGACTTTCAAGTCCCGTGTAAAACCAAGTAACTGTTGAGGTATAGAGCGCCCAAGTCCATGGGACCTTATTTCGGGAAAAATATGTACGTATGTATGTCAGCGGTGAGAGACATCTTATTTTTGAATTACACACGTTGTTTGTCAATTTAAAAGATAATTTTGTTGTTAAGAAAGCTGCAGTTTTTCATTAGACAGTAAAGTTACACGTTGTTTTGTGTGAAAACGGTTCAATGAACTACATTTCTCGTCTTGCACAATATACGTCACCAACATGTTAGCGCGGTAATGTTAAGCTAACGTTTATTGCTTGGTTGCTGCTAGCTAAATAACCATGTTACACGCAGAAATATCTCACCTGATCCAACGACTCTTGGTCCTTTTATCACATCATCCTGTCAGTTCTTTGACGTTAGCTTCAGTAACGTTAGCTTCAGAAACGTTAGCTTCAGAAACGTTAGCTTCAGTCATGGAGAGAAAAGGTTATGACGTGACATATGCAACTTTTGGGTTTGGGGTCTTTGTAATTATGTATTTTCAGTCTTATACTTCAACAGTTTTACATCAAACTGCGACTTTTTTGACTTTGAAATATACATTTTAAACTGACAAACAATCGTGTGTAATTCGGAGCACAATTCAAACGGGATGAAACAATTAGTTGTCTTTTGCCGTTGAATAACGTACTTATTTTTTCCGAAGTAAGGTCCCATGGTGGTCCACCGGAAGGGGCGGGGCTTATGTTCTCTAAAGTGAATTTTAAGTTAAATACCATTTTTTAAATTCTGTCAAATTCTGAGTTATGTAATGAACTTACTTTAAACCAAACCACAAAGCTTTCCTAAACCTAACCAAACTGCGAGTGTTTCACAACATTAACCATGCGTTTGATGTCATGTGACTACAATAATAATAATAATAATAATGAAAGTCCAGTCGCTGAACTGGTACAAGAAACGCTCGTATTTGTTGTTCTGGGAGGCATCGACAAACAAACTTAATCTGTCCTTTAGGTTTGTTTTTACAGATAAAACAAGATATAACGTGTTCAGGGTCGCAGTTTCTAAGCTAACATGAGCAGATGCCGGATTACCAAGGGAGGTAATTATTTTACAGGGACCCCAAACATGTCCCGTGTGTTATCTTATATTCTGAATATGTACTGTTTAGTATCTGGACAGAGCTGTAAATGAAGTTGGTCCCAAATAACCACCAGGAGCCGTTACCAGGATGGCTGCCGAGTGGCGGGACTTCGGCTAAGCTAACTGGCTGTAGCTTCATATTTAGCGAACAGCCAAGAGAGTGGTTTAAATCTGAATATCTGACTCTCAGCAGGAAAGTGATTCGACGTGTTCCTTCAACACGTTCACACTGCGAGCAGCTGAGCTACTTGTGAACGAGTCGGCGTGAGAGGACAGGAGTGATTCTGTGAAAACAGCATCAGAGCATCCCTAAACCCAGAAACCAGGAGCCTGCTAACGGTGACTTCTGGTGGCGGCGGCGGCGGCAGCGCAGGATCTTCAAACAGGGAAGCAGCAGATAAGAAGCCAAAGTTATTTCACCATTTACTGGATTAATAGACTTTTAGAATAATCGCCAACCTTCAACATTATTTGATGACACAAACCCAATATGGGTAAAATTCATAGCAACGTCTTTTTTATCTTGTTTTTTATATATATATATATTCACACACACACGAAACATAAACCTGCTGCTTTCAGACCATGTTGCATTTTCGCTGCCGGAAACGACTCTGAAATCTGACGACAAATACTATTTTTTTTTAAAATTACAAAAATCAAACATGTGGAAGAGCAAAGGCGCCTCAGTGCAACTGCTCGTTAAGCCCCGCCCTCTTTAGTTCCTGCTGCTACGCCAGTCCATCTTTCTAACAGTTTAAAACGACAACGCCGACAGATTTCGAGAATGTTGTAAATGTGATCTTGAATAAACACTCGATGCTAAACAGACTGAAGCTAATGCTAACAAAGAGGCAGCACTGTACTGCAGTGGAGAGCGAGTTAGTCCCGGTGAACTGATTATTACATTAACAGCTTGTTCTCAGCTGTAACGTGGAGCTGCCTCAAACATGAGATGTGACGACACACCTGCTTAGATTCTAGTTTTACTTATTTGTTTTTAATCTCAATTCTGTTATTTCGATATCGTGTCTCCTTCCACTGTGAAGCGTTTTGTGACGTCTGACCTGAAAACATGTTTTCTCAAACTGACGTGTTTGGCGGCCGTATCTGTCTCAGATTTACACTACAGGACAGAAGTTTTAGTTTTAGCAGCAGAATAACCAAAAGAAGGTAAAGACAATGTTCAGGTCAGAAAAACTGAGAAATAATGTAAATTTCAGAGATTTAGAAGTAATGAGTTAATAACTTCCAGTTATTCTGCAGCAGTGGAAGGAAAGTAAACTCATGTCTACAGTAAACACCTTGGAGCAGCCTGTTAATTCAAATTACATCTATATATATAATATTAATGAGGGAAGACAGAGACGCTGGTCATCAGTTGATCCTACCGTGACATAATGAACAAAACATCTTCATTTAGTTGTTAAATTTAGATCTGAAAATGTCTTGTTTTGATGGCGTAAATGTTGTTTTTAACTTTTGCTGCTGACTTTGGTTCTATTTAAGGTTTTTCACTGAACTTTAGCTGCTCACATTTACAGAAGAACTACAAACATGGCGGCTGTTCTAAAACGTCTGACAGGTAGAGTTAATAAAAAGATCCGGACAGAGCTGCTAACGTTAGCTTAACGTCTTTCCAACACAAGAACTCATCACTTGCACTGATTTTCCACCTGAGCATTGTTTAGTTTGATGGAGCTGAAATGAACGGGACACAAACAAATTACTGAAAATCACCAAAGCAGCTTCCCGAAGCTGAGCAGTGACGACCCACACCCACAGAGCAGGAAAACTTTATCAGGGTCAATATATAATAACACCCCATATCAGACTACACCACCTGTATCCAGGAACAGACACCTGAATGCGGCTCATCAGCCTTATTCAGACGCACACATTAATCACTCGTTCATAAGCAAAATATTTCACTGTTTTTTGGCTCATTTTGATAAATCGAGTCGAGATTTTTAAACTGTTTGTTTGTTTTTGGGTGTTTTCAGTGTTTCACGTGGAGTCTGGGAGGAGCAGCCAACGCAGTGTGGAAGCTAAAGCCACATTTATACTTCTGCGTTGAAGCTACGTCGCAGCCTGACTGCACCTGCCCAAAAATGTAACTACACGTCAGGGCGACGCAGAAGTGCGATTGGTCGGCTTGGCGGCATTTTCTCCAAGCAAACAGGAAGTGCTCTGTGCTTTGAAGCCAATTTTAGTAGCGGCCAAACCAGCGGCTATAACAAGATCAATATTTGTGAGCGTCACAATCGCAGAGCAAGTTTTTTATAGTTTCTCTATGATTAGGTTTTTATTTTTGTTTCGTTTTGACTTTCAGTTAATTTGAATTAGTCTTTCAAGCAGGTTTGCCAGTTTAGTTTATTTTTTGAAAATGCTCAGTTTTAGTTTAGTTAGTTTTAGACTTTCTGCGTGGACTAAAAAAGAGACTGGATTTCATATCCACCAAAAAAAACTCGGCTCACGTCGGCTCTGTGACATAAAAAGACGTTTATTTCGGCGAGTTTTTCAAACAGATGGTAACGTTTCAGTAATTGTTTTTTTCCCAAAGGCTTGTTTTTATTTTATTT